TCAAAAGAAAAATTATCCCAATAGAGCCTTAGTTTCTACTACATGTAAAAAGCAAATTTAGGCTGTGTTTAGGAAATAAGTGCTTGTTTGAATAAGTACATATTCATTAAGTGCTTGTTTTTAAGTACTTGTTCAGATAAATATTCAATAATATTTGGGAGGTCTTTTCTCAAACCACTTATACTTATTTTAAGTACTTAAAGTGTTTTGCTAGCTGCTTATCCCAAATGTACTTATACTTGTGAGAATGACAACTATAGCCTTAACTTATCATAGACATGTATATGATATTTATGAATATTATATTGACACAATGGAGAGAAAATGGTAGTCGCCGCCACTATAAGCTAACGTTTAATGGAGAGAAAACAATAGGGTTCTATCAGCTTTTTGATAAAAATACATCCTTATTTTTAAAATAATCACTTATTCTGAGCTGATTTACCAAACTCGAATAAATACTTAACTTCCAATTGTTGTATACTCCCATCACTTAAAATAAGTATTTATTTTAAGTGTTCTCAAACAGGGCTTAATTTGTTAATTTGTTGTAAACTACATACAAACCAGCAAACCAGGTCTTCTAAACCACCCAAAAGATGCATAAAAAAAGTACCCAAAAGACAATCTGGTGGATCGTTTGACTTATTGGGCTTCACCGCTTTGGTTTGGGACTAACTCAGTTCCCCAGTAAGTTGCTTGAAACATCGAAGCATCCATCAAACTAAACTGAAGCCAACTAGCCAAGACCTTTCCATCTTATGAAATTCTCTCTAATCCGTTGCTAATGGTAAAGTTTTGTTCACATCCAGATTTTTCTGAATGCCATCTCCCATTAGATTTGGACTTTAAATAATGGTAACTATGGTGTAATCCATTATTTCTTTATTTATTTTTGGGAACTAGGCCCTGACTGAGTAGCCATGAAAACCATAGATTGGATCTCATGAATGATGTCTGATTATCCCTCGAAATTTGAAGAATTTTCAAGAATAGTTTCAATCTATGAATGTTCAGATAAGTCTGAATTCCCCTTCCTAATAAGTCTGAATTCTCTCTAAGCCTGGCGTTTAAGTAGGGCCTAATAAAGCCCAGGTTTGGGGCTCAAATTTAACAATTGATATGCTACATTGCTAGTTTGCTACTTAAGAGGACGAAATAACGAAGCGGGATTCATGTAGATGCGGTTGGTAGCCTTTGTTTGGACCAAACTGGTAGTACCAGTTTTTGAAAAACTAGTAATTAGAACTGAATCGAAATCAGTCAATTAACCGACTGTTTATTTCGTCGGTTTTTCGGTTTTTTAACTTTATAATATTTATTATAAAAATATATATTTATATATAATGTGTATTCATTAATTTATAATTTATAAAATACATATTATATATATATATATATAATATACATAAAATATATACAAAAACATATATACCGGTCGGTTCGATTAACCGCCAGTTTTTTAAATTGGTTAACTGAAATCGAACCGATACTTTTGATTTTTTAAAATCATCGAACCAACCAGTTTGATTAACCGATTTTTCAGTTCGTTTTCGATCAATTTTTTCGGTCAATTAAGTTTTGGGGTTTTTTTGCTCACCCCTAGCAGTTGGGCTTCGGGGCAGGCTGGATTAAACTCTAGACTTATCCTACGTGATGCAACTATATTGATTTCTAATTAAACATAATTGTATAATACATTTTGTCTATGACAACTATAATAATGGGGTTAACCTCTACAAAGTTTGGGCTTGCACATCCCAGATTCAACTAATAATTTGATGGGTTGGGTTAGGATGGTGTCTTGGAGGTCATAAGCTAATCTTGGATTCTTGGGCCATTAAAAATACCTCGAAAGAATGGGGTACTAAATGAATACTTCTAAAGGCCGAATCAATCAATTAACCCAAAACGATTTTTTTGGATAAATTGATAAAATCTTCCGTGAAGCTGAAACAATTTTTTAATACAGTTGCAAGTAGATTAAAAATCTGAAGAGAAAGAAATGATAACAGGAGGTTCTTATATCTGAATCCCTTTACAATAAGAAAACCGCACCAGCTCGTTATAATTGAGCCCAATTCAAATGATGTCTATACACTCCTTGCTAGCCAAACCATTAGCAGATCTTCTAACCCATCTTAATTGAATGTTCACATGTCTTGAGACTCTTGACAGCATCTTGAACTGCATGAATTCATTTCTAAATTGCCATAACACCCATTCTACTATTTAATGACTATCTTTGAAACCTTTTCTACAACCAACCTTGTGATTTTGGTTTCTTTAGCTTTTTACATCCCAAAAACAGCAGCTATGGATTCTGCTCTCACTGAATCACTGTTCAATTTGCTCCGCAAATAGTCCACAAATGTTTCCACCCTCATCCCATATTATTCCTCCACTTCCGGAAGGTCTTAGATTGCCCAAACTGCTTCCATCAAAATTTAGTTTCGTCCAAACCTTCAATTGGGGGAGACCAAAACCTTAATTTCAGTCTTCACCTAGTGTGCTACTCTTACTGTAACAGTATCAATAATTGCCTCCTTATTCCTTTCTTTGTCCTCAAAAATCCTTTTGTTCCTCTCATCCGAAATTGTCCACACTACTGCTTCCCTTGCACATCAACATCATTGAAGAGAATATGGGTTCGGCTACCTGAGTTCTGTTTTTCTATTCCGTTATGTTCAGTGCCATATCCATCATAAAATTATGGGTGCTTAAATCATTTCTTATTACTTTCACCCTTGTCCTTTTCAGTCTATGCCCCTAGTCTTCTAGTCTTTTCAACTTGTAACATAGAGTTACCAAAAACCACATGATTGGAGAGGATTACTTCTAAGTAGGGGACCCAATGATTCGTGATTCATCAACCATTGAGAGGTATTACAACCTAAACTTCTTACAAAGTATTGTTATCTGCTGCCTTCCAAATTCACTCCTGAAATTATACTTTTATCGAGGTTTATTTTAAGATGAGCTTTCAGAGCAGCTTGAGGGGAGGATCACCTCTAAGGAGAGACTCGATAATTTATCATCCTTTGAGATGTATTATGACCACAACTTCCTGCAAAGTCTAGTGATCTGCCACCTTTCCAAATTCACCCCTGCAGTGCTAATTTTGTCCTTTTTTTTTTATTTTAAGATGAGCTTCCAAAGTATCTTGAAGACAAAAGTTTTTAACCCCTTCTACCCCTTGAACCTCATAAGAGAAGATAATTTGTCATTAGCGAATTTTAAGTGAGTGATAACTACTCTTTCTTCCTGATCCAAATGTGTGTATCTCAGTAGTTCAACATTAAGTGATGATAATTGGTCTTCATCATCATTGTTTTAATTTTTGAACACCTAATTTATAGAGATGTGCTTATCAATTCCCTTGATTATGCCATGAAATATTTGTTAGGATTGGAGCTGAGGACAAGTTACAGGTGGATACTGAGATCAGCCAACCACATAGATTAGATGATTAACTAGCAAAAGAAGGGCGATGACCAGAACTCAAATGTTTTGAGTCTTAACCCCTAAGGGAGAAACTTGTAAAAAAACTGAAAGTGGTCCCTAGCCAAGGCTAGCTAACTATGACGGTCCTGAATATTAATTCTGTATATCGTTAGTTAACATATTTCAAGAGAAGGTTGTAACTGTTACTGATAAAAGAATATAAGCGTATTTATGTGAGTAATTGATTATTCTCCTCTCTTCATCTATTATATTGCTCACTTCTTAATTTTCTGTATGTCTTTGGTTCCTATTGTTCATACAACCTTCAAAAGTTATAAAATTGGACAACTGCAGGTGGATTCAACTGCTTGATGTGTGGGCAATGTTTCATTTCCATGCATGATGCATGTATAAGTGACTACCTCAAACCCAAATAGTCCTTTGCATCACCATCATTAAATTGAGAGAATTGAACAAAACCTTGAAGTTTCCTTCTACAATGCTGTAGGCTATTTTCTGTTCTGTTCAAGTTATTGATGGAATCTCTATAATAAACATGCAACTTCTCTTTCCATTTAGATGTGATGGTATTCCTGAGTCTTTGTATTGTATAATTTTGCGAATTTCCTGAACCTGGGTCTCTAGAACATGCATATATGGTGATTAAAATTGTTTCGTGTTCATGTAGTAAGTGCTATGTCATGCTCTAAATCTCAAACAAACAATTTGTCTTGGACAGGAACTTTAATTATAGTTTAGAATAAATATTTTACATCTTCTTCTATGACACCTATATATCTAGCTTTAGTTTGTTGTGTGCTTTTTGCTATGATGAATTCTAGGGAGCTGCAATAACTGATTTTTATACTTGCCATAATTTCAGATGAAATAAAACAAAAAGTGGATGCAAAGTGTAATGAGCTTGGGGGATATATGTGTGAAAGGGGAGAGCTTGAACCTGAAGAAACTTGTCAGATGTTCAAGGAATTCGAGAATAAGATGATTCTGGAATGTTCAAAGATGATAGAGGAAGAAGGACCGGCCCCCACAGTGTGATGATACTGTGCCAGTGTAAGGAGGTATCGGAATGAGGGAGAAACTTGTATCTTCTTATTCTGATAATGCAGTATTTGTAATTACATCAGAGGAGGTCGGTTGTGGTGTAACAACCCAGTAACCGACTAACTACAAGTGGGCCATGTGGCTAAACTGCACGTGGGCCCAAAGACCATATTCCTAACACCCCCTTCAAGTTGGAGTGTCAAAAGGCATCAAGACGTCCAACTTGGAGGAGAGATGATAAAATTTTTTTATGGAAAGAGCCTCTGTGAGGAGATCAATTGGCTGAAAAGAGCTCGATAAGTGATGAGTCTGTAAGGAGCCATTTTGCATTTGTTCACAAATGAAATGACAGTTAATGTCGATGTGTTTCGTTCTTTTGTGAAAAACTAGATTGACTGCTATGTGAAGTGCTGCATAGGTGACAAAAGCTGAATGGTGAGATCAGCTAAGAGTCTTCGAAGCCAAACTAATTCAGCTATGACAAAGGCCATTGCTCAGTATTCCGCTTTTGCCGAGGAACAAGACACAGTCAACTGCTTCTTGGTTTTCCAAGATAGAGGAGATGAGCCGAGTAAAGTGATATAGCCAGTAGTTGATTGTCGGGTGACAGGGCAACTAGCCCAGTCAGAATCAGAGTATCCATTGAGAACAAGGTTGCTATTGCTCGAAAGAGATATGCCATGCAATGGAGTGCCTTTGAGATATCGAACAATGTGCAAGGCAGCATCAAGGTTCTCTTGACGAGGTTCATGTATATGTTGACTGAGACAATTCACAGCAAATGAGAGATCAGGCCTGGTTACTGTGAAGTAAACTAAACGGCCCACGAGTATGCGATAAGACGAAGGGTCAGCCAAGATGGGGCTGGAAGGATCATCAAAGTGGCATTGGGCCTCCATTAGTGTTGGTGATGGTTTACAGTCTTGCATCTCGGTGTCAATGAGAATATCAGTAATGTATTTATGTTGACTGAGCAATATGCCATCAACCGAACGATGGACCTCAAGTCCCAAAAAATATTTTGGGGGGCCAAGGTCTTTGATTTTGAACATGTCGTCCATGAACTTCTTGAGAGATGTGATTCGTGTAAAATCATTTCTAGCTAGGAAAACATCATCAACATATACAATGGGTACTCCAGGAATAAGTGACAAGTGCTTGTGAGAGGCATGTCCCAAATGGTAGTGCCATGTTGCTGAATTTGTAGTGGAAGTGGTGTGAGCAGATGCATGTTAAGGTGTTGTGAACGAGAATTGGTAAAGTCCATTACGCAAAGTCCCCACTCCAATCATTGTCTTGGAGGCTAAGTCCTGGATGATGCAAGATGAGGAAGAGAAAATCACAACACAATTTAATTGTTGTATTAGCCGACTAACAGATAAAAGATTGTAGGAAAATTCTGGTATTTAGAGCACATCAGGAATAACCAAAGATCCTTGCATGGTGACTGGAACCAATAGTCCATTTGGTAATCAAATTGGCTTATCAATATCTGTGGAGGCATGATCTATGAAATGACATGGTGATGAGATCATGTGATCTGAAGCACCACTGTCAAGTATCCACTCGACAGTAGAGGTGGTCTTACAAGTGACATTGGCAGATATAGTATTGGCTGATTTTTTGCTCAGTAAGGAGAGAAGCTACGTATATTGCTAAGGAGAAAGGCCAATGAATGAAGAGTTGCTTGGAGGATTCTTGCCAAGAATCTGATCTGTGGTTTCCGAAGTGGCACAGAAGCTTGACCATTGGTTCCCCTTGTCATTCCACCGATTCGAACGGGATTTATCCTAACTGGGTGGATATCCTACTAGTTTGTAGCAGTAGTCCTTGGTGTGGCCATTGTGTTTGTAGTGCTCACAATCACAATAATACTTTGATCTTGACCGCTGGTTAGGTCTCATGGTATTTAAACGAGACCCTTGTATGGAGGAAACAGACATGGTTGCTGCTTCTAGCACAGGCTACAGAGTATATATCGCGAGGTGGCATTCTTCTTGAAGAACCAAAGCATAGGCCTTATTCAAGGATGGTAAAGGTTCCGATCCAAGAATGCTGGAGCGGATGGTATTGTACAACTCATTGAGTCCCATCAAGAATTGATGGAGTCGTTCTTTTTCTTGTTCAGCAATGAAGATCTTAGTCGTGCCCCACAAAAACACTCAGGTAAGGTGGTCGATTCATCCCAAATTATCTTTAATTTGGTGAAGAACGATGTTATGGTAAGATTCACTTGTTTGAGCATCGTCAAATCATGCTTGAGTTGGTGGATTCTTGGGATATTTTTCTGAGAAAATCTCTCGTGTAATTCTGACCAGACCTCTGATGCAAATTCAATGAAGGCAACACTCCCATACAGCTCCATTAAGACAGAGTTGAAGATCCAAGAAGCAACCATCGCATTGCATTTGGACCAAGCATTTTCTTCTGGTGACAATCTTGCTGGTCAAGGCAGCGATCCATTAACAAAACATAGTTTGTTCTTCGCTCGGAGTGCTATTCTCATTGCCTACTGCCATATAGGATAATTTTCTCCGGTGAGTAAACAAAGACTATTCCTAAATTGTCGGAGGCATGCAAGAAATACAGGGAGTTGGGATCTAAAAATAGGGACGCCATGGTGTTGACAGTGGTTTCAGATGCCATGGCAAGACGATGATCCGTTGGGTTTCAAGAAATCAAGAATGAGTTTCTTCAAAGAAAAACTTTGGGAAAACAGAATAAAAAGGAAAAGGAATACGGGTGACGAGGTTAATCACACCCTGTACAATGAAGTGGGAAGGGTTAATCGCACCTTTTGAGCGTGCGATGAAGTAAGGGATTTGCGATGAGCCGAGGCTCTTATTATTCTGATATGACAGTATTTATAATTACATCAGAAGAAGAGGTCGGTTGTGGTGTAACAATCCAATAACCGACTAACTACAAGTGGGCTACGTGACTAAACTGCACGTGGGCAAAAAAACGGACCTTGATGACTCACCCACCAGGCCACCAGGTGAGGGGCCAATTCTGATGACGTGGCAAACAAGGGTTGTCTTTTCTCCCGGTGGTGATGATGCATGTCACCCCAAAAGCAGAAATTAAAGTGAAACTTTCTGTCACTGTAAAAGAGCTTGGGCTTTCGAAGTATGCATTTCAGCAGTTCAGGGAATTAGATAGAAAAACTTGCAATAACCAGTGAGAGGTAAGTTAAAAATAATGCACTGTTTAATTTTCTTGCCCAAAGTGGTTTAGGACCACAGTTGCATGGACTGACCTAAACAGATGAAGTGTCAGTTTGTTGGATTTTTCTATATGTGGCATTTTTGGTTATCTCATTGCTAAATGAATAGCTAATTAATGCCATATATTGAATGCCATTTGATCTTATAAAATGTTATTAAGTAACAAAGCTAATTAATCTTTTAAATATGTCTTCTATAGTGTTGAAATTCAAAAAATATGCATGCAGCATTTAATAGTTTATACTTTACATTTGTTCATGTGAGATGACCTCATTCAAGGGTCTAAAGCCTCAAAATAAAACACAAGAATCAATTGGTCTGGGTATTGATGGGTACTATGATAGGGCTCTCTAGTGTTGTATTGTCGTTTTTTTTTTTTTTTGTGATGTGAGGAATTCAGGTAAGCTTTTGCCATGTTTGTGAGTTTATATGTTAATCAAGTTTGGAGTTTTGTTGGGGTATTATGTAAAAAGGGCCGGTTCTTGTGATGCCGAGAGGTAGTTTATAAGAGTACTCTGTAATGGGGTTTTAATTTGTAGTTGGGGTTAATGGGTTGTATTCTCTCTCAGGTGATTGCTACTCATCTGTTTGTGCCTGCGAATCTTTGTTTTGTCATCTTGCCAAATTCTGATTAATGGGTTAATGGATTGTGATGTCATTCGAACTGGATGATTGAACTACTGACCCAAAAATTAATGATCAAAGCAGTTCTGGTTTCAATCAGTTTTTAAAACATTGGGTGTTGTTGCTTGGTCACTGACTCACTGTTACTAAGAGAACTTCTGAATTCTGATTATAAATGGTATATGGCCATGGGCGGTTATCTTACATGACCCTTATTCCATTGTTTTTGGTCCATTTCAACATTTTGATATTATTTCTAATAATTCAATTATATATCTTTTGCCCCAGGATTGATCTTGTACTTGTAATTCTTATTAGAGCCTTGTTTGTATTTGAAAAGGGTTCCTTGTTCTGCTGTTTCTCAGTTTCCTAAATAGTAAATTCAGAGATTGTTGGCCGCATCTACGGTTCTTCTTGCAGCTCGATTTAAACCAAATTGATCAATATAGTCCTACTTCCCATTTGGGTTGCATAATTCAAACCTTTCTTTTGATGGGATAATATCTACTTTGGCTCCATTTGGGAAAAGTGTAAATACAAATTTACTCAGTGCAAAACCTTGTAATTTAATTAGTATTTCTAAACAGTGTATTTGCATTCTTCCCAAACTGAGCCTTAGCGCTCCTGTATGTTGATCCCTCCTGCCATGATCTCGTACCTAGGTTTAACACCACTACCTTGCACGCGGGATTTTACCATCCTAATACATTGTATATATGTAGTTATTTCCTCTGTTTTTCTTAATCGATGTAACTATTGTATGTAACTATTTTCCGGGTTTGAATCCCGTATGAACTGGATGAATTACTTCAATATTATTATCAGGGATTTGCGTAAATTAGTTGATTAATTCATTATGGACTCCAGGCATATTCATGACAATTAATTCATTTCTTTTCCATGTTGGCACAATTGCCTTCATTAGCAAGGTTGATGGTGGTAACACTAGAAAAGGGTGAATTTTCATGAATACCACCTGCGATAATTTATTCAATTCAGGGAAAAGGAAGAATGCCACTGATTAATTACCATTTTTATAATATGGGTTCATTTGTTATAAGTTTTTTCTGGTATCATGACCGGACTATCTGTGAAGTCATAGACCTTTTTTTCTTTGTAGAACTGTTATTTAACAGACTGCAGGATATAGGCCGCAAACTGTAACTATTCTCCAAATTTGAAATCGAATCTAAAATGGTTATGACCTAAATTGATACAAGTACATGGAATTGCCAACAAGACCAATCAGAACCCAATACAATTTATCAAGAAGAACAAAATATAATGTAGGAGAATAAATGAACTTCTGCAATCCAATAAAGGTGAAAAGATCACCAACAAAAGTAGAAAAGCACAACTCCAATCCACTAGAAACGGCAAAAGAAAAGACAGGAGAAGTTTCCAAAAGAGATTGCAAAGAGTCAGTAATAACATGGTTGGGGTAGATCCGCAGAAGAGGACACAACCCCAAACGTTACAACTAATACCAGATACTGTAACTGCTTTCCAAAACGGCATTCGCCAAAGAACTGCGAATGGAACTGATCATGAATTGCTTCTGCCAAAGAATCATGAACGACTTAACTATGGACGGCAAAAACGTAAAGCAATACCCACCAGTATTGAAAGCCCAATATAGGATCCAAGAGCAAGTAATCCCTTTGTCAAAATGCCTGCAAAAAAACAAAAAAAAAAAAACAAAAAACAAAAAAAGAAAGGAGAGAATAAAGGAAAAGAGGGGACTCCCAGAAGGGAATCACCCGAACAGAGAGATTGATAGAGCTTGAAGAGACACGAGAGAGAAGCTCTCTCTAAACAGAGAGAGAGGGAACGATTGTGCGACTTGCAGAGAGGGAGCGGTTTCAGAGAAGGAAAAGTTCCATCATATCTAATCCACCTTTGATGTAATCCCATCTGATAATATTTATTTGGGTTCGATTATGATATAGAAAATATATAATATCCGAAAAAAGGTCTGATCAATAAATTGAAATCATAAATATGATAGCCAATCAGATGTTATTTAATATTTATTAAAATAAGGTTATACATATATGCTTATATCTAAATAAGGTTTG